TGAAGATAGTGTAGGCGATGCGTGGCCGGGGGTAGATTTGTGAGTGAATCGCTCTTTCCATGGTTCATGGAGTACTTGGATTTTACTGATGTCGACTGAGATGGAACGTTTCTTCTTAGGTGTCTCAGTGCCGTTGCTTGAAATGCTCATGGTTTCCACACCACTCGCAGAACTAGGGCGAGTGCTGGCTGGAGTGGGGAATACTCCACTGTTGCGCTTTGGGGATTTTGGGGGGATTTTGATATCGCTTGACATCTCGTTGCTGGCAATGGCGATGAGGCTGAACTGTCTGGAGGACGCACTGGGAGGCCGTGATGTGGCTTGTGATCTGAGGCCCCCTGGGTAGGGTAACTTGGAAGCCGTCTTTTTATCTGTGTCCTGTTTCCTCTGCAACTCATTTGATCCAGATACCAACGCTTTGGGCTGTTGTTTAGATTTACCGGTAGCGGTTGTCAGCTTGTTTTTCAGCGAATACCTTCGACCGAAACTTGTCGAACTCTTCTCCTTCTTTCTCTCATGTCTCAAGATCCGCGAGAAAGAGAAACCTGATTTTCCGTTCTTAGCTTTGGAAGAAGTATCAGCATCTCCCTGAGTGGCTATTTGCGCGGATTCCAGGGCATTTTCATCGTCTTGGTTATTAAGAGGTGGTCCGGCTAAAGGGGAAGATTTAAATGGGACGTCACGATTTATTACTTTTGGTGATGTTCGCATGGAGTTCTCACGCTGTTTGACGGTAGGAGCAGTTGCCACTAGTTCCATGTTATCGGGGTCAATAATCGTTGGGGTTTTCAAGGTATCAATTGGATCGGCGGGGAGACTTGTTGGTGTGGTATTAGGGGAAGAAGATCCAGATTGGACCTGCGGAAAATCCCCAGCAATCCCTATGTCTTCAGGAGCGACATGCCAGCTGGCTGGTGTGAGAGAAGGATCTGAGTGAGCAGCATGGCTTTTGAATACCCCGTTAGAGCCATAGTTATATTCGTAAGGGCCGCTGGTTTTGAACTCGTCGACGTCCCCGTTCACTGATGTCTGGGGAGGTTCATGACCCGGACCGCGACGTTTTAAAGAGAGTCCGGCAACGCGATCAGAGTTTGTTAATATCTCACTCCATGAGTGTCTCCGTCCATGCTTCCGTTGACTCACTGGGGGCGTGTGCGTTGTTTTTTGTGGTGACCTGAGAGGAGGTATGACTGAAATAGCTGGTGGTTGTTCTTGTGGTTCACTGGAACCGCTTGTGCCATTAACAGAATTTTGAAGGGTAGGTGCTTCATGATGAAGTTGGCCAGTTGTGTTATGTGGAGGAGGAATCTTCTCCTCAGGCTGGACAACTGTAATTCGCGAGCTATTGCGCGGACTTGGGGGGGAGATCCCCGTGGTAGAATGGAAATGACTGCTTGTAGGCGTAGATGGCACACTTTTCTCCGTTTTTCGGCCAGATGCTTTGCGATTTTCATTCTCCTTATTTGTGGAAGCTCTACGTAATGAATACATATGGGGCTCGTGTTCAGCTTTGAGAGACCGACGTTGGAGCTTCCTTCCGTTAGAATTTGATAATCGGCGGGTAAGCTCCTGACTCCAAGATGATCTCGTAGGCGGTGTATTGGTGTTCTGTGGGGAAGGATCGCTGGATCGAAACGCCTTCGCAGCGGCACGTAGATCAGAATGTTTCTTAGCCATATGAAGGTGGCGTCTTGGCTTATTTGACGGAGACGAGGGCATGGGTGACGGTGAGTTCGAACCGGTAGCACGAGATGAGGTCTTATAATATTCTGGGTCCGGGGTTATTTTTCCTCCAAAACGCTGCGGCAAATGGCCTGTGAATAGAAGCTTGGTAGACTCCGGTGGATCATTCGCCGTTTTATCCGCTCCTACATCAGGGGGTGAAGTAGCAGGGACAGTTTCATCTCGGGCAGAATCATCCTTCGACGTGCTATTAGACCAAAACCCCAAAATTGATGGGGCAGTTGACGAGCGTGGGAGAATGCTTCTAATACTTGACGCTCTGCTGGGTGTCTTGCTGGGCGGCTTTTTGGTTAAACGTCGCGGCTCATTGAATGAGCTTCGCTCGGGTTTCTTGGCTTCATGTTTTGATGACCGTTCGAGCTCTTTCTTTTCTTTGGCGATTCGTTTTAATTCCTTCTTCCTTTCCTTCCTCTCTTTGTCCGTCTTCCAGGAGGGAGAAACACAGATCTCAGACCGTTCATCTGCTTGGGTGATATTATTGACTCCATTGGCTACGTTTGTCGAGTTTTGATGAGCTTTGCTGGACTCATCAAGGTTTACTTGAGAGAGCGCGTGTGTGGCCTGATCATGGTTGTCAGCATATTTCATAAAAGCACGCAGAGCATTTAAAAAAATGGGTTCTTCATGGTTTTTCTACGTGTGCGATCGAGAAGTACGCTACGAAACTAGAACTATTTTCGTGAGACCACCTTTGTGGTGCATGGAATATTGATTCGTGCAAAGTTTTATGCTGGGTTTATTCTGTAAGGACTTTGTACCACTCACCTCATCATTTGCATTCACTGCCTGTGGCTCGCCCGCAATTACGGAGTTTAAAGACTCCATTCGATATTGCTCACATACCACACCGGGCGCGATTTCAGTTTATGACATTCACCGTTGCTTATTACGCGCTATGAAGTTGTGCGCGTCACAGCAGTTGGTGGCCGACCTGGGGATCCCAAAGGACGCAATGAAGGCCCCCTCAACACCCCAATCGCGAGTCCAAAATGCAAACTTCTGCTCCAAATATGTGTCGTAGCAAGAAGTCACACCTGTTTAATTAAAACGTGGTGGGGAACCGAAGGCTCGAGGTGTGGAAGACGCAACAAACCGTGCGGTTGCGTGGTGGAAGGTCAATAGAAGGGTGACAAAAGAAACAGCGGAGCAACAACTGAAATAGCTCAAAGTAGCACCATCAAACTGCAAAACTGTGCCCCGGTGGTGTGAAGATTGCCAAATATGGAAAGACAGTAATTTGGGATATGTGAAAAACGAAGCAACAGATAATAGAAATTGACCCTTTTTGCACAGCAAGCCGAACAACAACAAAAGTGAATCAAGCATTGAAAAATACCAAATACCGGCAAGGAATTTGTTGTACCATGCGTTTGCTATATTTCATGAGGGCTAAAAGATTTCCGAAGCCTACCCAGAAATGGACAGGACGGTAACAAGGATGGTGATTGATATATGCATGAACTGAGAAGGACAGCGGACGGGAAACTCTTGGGAAGACAGGCAAGTTGCCAAAATCTCCGAATAGCGCGGGGAAGGTGAACCGACTATGTTTAAATAGCAGCAAAGGAACCGAGGAATAACCCCGCAATGGTGTTGCTTGTAGCAGGTTGTAGTTATACTCTTTTAAAGATAGAGAAAGAAGGTTAACCGGGGTCAGGCCATGAAGAAGGACAAGTTATAACATGAAGAGCAACGCCACGAATGTGAAACTCCTCCAGGGGACTCAGGATGAAACGTAAAGGCCCATGTCTGCTTTCTTCGAAGCTTCGAGGCTGAGAGGCACAAGTTCGACACGAAAGGGGAGCAAACGGGATGGCGTCAGATCGGGATTTCCTGCTGGAGATCGAATCTTGTGTTCTGCATATAAACACAGCCCAAGCAGTTGCAAATGGCAACCCGCATCCCACAGACAGGACAGGAAGACAGCCGCCAAGTCACATGTTGGGGGCCTAGTCAGTTAATGTCTCAGGACTGCAGACAGGGCTTAGACGATTTGACAACGGGATTGGGAAGCTCAGAGTGTGCCAACATGTGAGTGTCCAACCAAATGCAGCCCACGCATGAAAATAAAGCATGGCTTTCTTTGGACACTAGTTACATGAGTTAGGGCCAGGCTTGGTGCACAAAGGCCGGCCCCAAGAGGCCAGCGAACAATTCAATACGACAGCCACAGCGCATTGTTATGATTCCTGTTTATTTGCCCCCCGCTCGGACTGGCAAATGATTTGACTCGCGAAAAGAAGAAACGCGCTTGAGCAGGCAAGGTCTCAAAGATAAGATGCTGCACAAACCAAGGGGCGGACCAGGTTGCCATTGACAGGGAGAGAGAAACATATAGTCTGCTGACGTTTTCGAAGTTGAAACAGAGTTACTCAAGGTACAGAAAGGCTTAATAGAGTTTTGTTAAGCTTCCACTGCAAAGTCCAACGGAAGAAGTGGAGCCAGCCTCCAAGGGGCTTTTTTTGTCAAGCCCAAGATGAAACCAACTGAGCGAGAGCCTTTCAGTTTATCTTTAAAGCCACTGTCATATCATCTGCAGAAGCCCAGGATAAATACAACACTAAGAGACACCTGTTCTTTGAATCCAACTAGGAAGAACGGGGTGGCAAGATGCCCCAACCGCTACGGTGGGTTTTTTCTGATGTGCTACAAATGACCGCTGACAAGATCCCGTACCCGTCCCGTCCGTCATCCCGCCTGCTTTCTGCTTTGTCCCGCTAATATTAAAAGACACAGTAATATCTTATATGTATAGTATGGTGCACAGCGGCAGAATCACATCTCTGTATCTTGATATCTCTGTACTTGGATATTTTACAGTTCTCTGATTGCTCTGTGAGCCCTGTCAGAATCTGCTGCAATGTTTTCTGCTTTCTCATTGATTCATGATACATGATCTACTGAATTGATGCACTGCTTCATTTTCTCTCTCTTTCTTCATATCATGATATATCTTCTGTCTGTTTTCTCTCTGTTATACTGTCTTTTACTTGATTACCTCTCTTTCACTTAATTACCTCTCTTTTCTGAATTCTCTCTGTCATGTCTCACTCTGCTCTATCTGTACAGTGCATGAATTTGATTTAATAGTAAAAGTGAACTGAAGAGGATGAAAAAATAAAATATTAAAAGGACGAGCTCATGAGAGAGGGGAGATATTGAAAATGACTGCAAAAAAGAAAGAGTAGTGAGTGAATACAAACTAAACATTAAGTAATAGAACACTCTCACATCTGATCCTCGCATTTCAAGAACATTTAGATAATCCCCATAGCAGTAGTAGATGTATGGGATTCAAAGGGCTTTTTAGCCCAAGGTTTCTCATACTCATCCAACGAATCCTCTTCCCCGGAGACAATTACTGGCTCACGTCCATATCTATCATCGTCATCATAGTTTTCATCCTCGTCCTCGTTGTACCCGGCAGCGGCTACAAGAGCAAGGACTCTATGCAATTTCCATTGAAGGTCAAGGAGCTTCAAATCCGGCAGTGGCAGGGATTCGGGGTCTTCAGTTGTTAGAGTTATCACCTGTCCAGATGAAATAAGCTCATTGGCTTCACAGTTGAAAAGGCGAATGTTTGGACGCTCGCCATAAACACACTCTCGACCACCCTGTCCAAGGTTGGCAGGGAATGACGGAGGTTCAACAGTAAACTCCTGGCTCGGATCCTCAGGAAGCGCAGCAGTTGAAAGTCGCAGACTATCCAGGCTACTGGGGCACAGCCAAAAGAATTTGACTGTCAGAGATTTTTTATCATTTGATATGGATAACGGCTGCAAAGCAAACAACTGCTTATCCCAGTACGCATGCACATGTGGAGCTAATAGCAATAAATTTTCTGTTGTTTCTGTACTCTTCTGCGTAACAAAATCTTGTAGTTCGGAAATTTTTGATTGGTCCCAAAAAAGCGAAAGAGTCCGCTAGAAGTAGGTAATCTGGTGCAATCTCCGGTGGCCCAAGGAGTAAGGTATGATATGGCAAGCGTTGGTCGGCTCCGTTGCCTTGGTCAGGACACAAGGTCTTATCTCGCTTCCGGCACTTCATTGTGGTCGGATGGTTAGCTGGTAATGTCAGCTGGAAATATAGGCTGCTGGAGATCACGTACTAATTCCGTAACTTTTTTGGAGGAAGATCGGGTCGTGGTGGGGTCAGATCGAGGTGAGGAAGACTCAATTCTTCTTCGCTTTCTACATGGACTAGGGGCGCGTTTGGACGGTGTGGTTTCAACTCTTGGGTTGGTTGGTGTACTTGGTCCAGACTTATAGGCGTGGAGCTTGTCGACCGTTGGCTAGTCCCTAACAAAAAACATGTTAGCTTTCAAAGCTAGTAAAGCTACCTGGAGTTTACCTTGGCGATACGTACACAGAGCTCCCAACTCTGTGAGCGAAAATGTGGCATATAAAATCTGGAAAATATGAGAAGGGTCTTTTTCAAAACTAGAGGTGAGGTCGGCAAGGCGTTCTATATCAGACAACCAAATACAACTCCAAACTAGTTCGTTGAGGGGAAGCCATGTGCCTGGGTCAGCACCAGCGTTAATTTCCAGTTCTCTCATTGCTCTAAGGATGGACCCAATTAGTTTTACACGCTCCGGGTCGTGAAACTCAGAGTCTGGACCAACCACTGACGTGACGACTGGCTCCATACTGTCGATTCGAACGTTTGGTGTTGGGAAAGTACGCTAATTTTGGCGGGGGTGTACGGAGTACTTGAAATGTAACTAAGCTAAAAGACTGAGGTATGCTTCATTGCTTGTATATGCTTTTTCTTTGAGAATGATGGACATGTTGTGAAACCCCCTCCTGCCTTGCCAAGATCATACTAATAACATAACATTAATATCTAGATGACTGCTTTTCATGATCATTATTATTATATATCGTTCTTCCTGTCTCTATAACTAAACATGCACTCAGATGTTCCAACAAAAAATCTAGGTGGGTTAAGTAATCCGAGAAGTCCAACCACGTGATACTAGACCCATACCTAACTTTACCTAGTACCTTGGATATGGATGGATAACTATGACGTCGGGTCAAATGGATGTGTCGCTGTGGCTGAGCGCCTTCCAACCTTAAAGCACGCTTGCCCTATCCAGGACTAACTCCACCTTCACGCCATCCATGCCATGCCATATATGATACAACACCTCGGGCTTCAATAATATTTAAATCTTGCAATCCTCATCTCCGCGCGTCGCGGTCTCTGAGCTCAAATTCCCCGTGTCTTCATCGAAGCCCCTTGATCTTCTTAGTGCTACGATCCCTCGATGAACGAATCCTCTGACGACCCTCCATTAATAGACCGCATTGCTCGCCGGTGCCAAGTCAGGGCTGCTGCTCATGAAGACTCACTAGGCGTAAACAGCCGCGCTAATCACGACAGTAATCATATCCTACCCATAACAAATTCTTCTGCTCAAAAACATGACCCAGATGACAGAGCTGGTAACAAGCCCAGTTGTCAAGATGAGTCAAAACCTGTCCCCACGACTGAAGCAGCCTCAGTCGTTTCCCGCTCCCTTTCGGCCAAAAACGATACTGGGAGTGAGGAAAATGCTGCCACCATAGGAGCTGTGGAAAAGGACTCTCCCATAATTCGAATATATCGCACCATACGCTTGATTATTTTGTCAAGCTGGATAAATTGGGCTCTCGTTTTTGTCCCCATTGGAATTGCCTTGGGCGCGGTGAATCGTTCCATGGGACATGAGAGTCCGATCAGTCCTATCAGTCCAACCGTGGTGTTCTCTATAAATGCCGTGGCCATTGTTCCTTTGGCTTCACTGCTTAGTTTCGCGACTGAGAACGCTGCGAGAAACCTAAGTGACAAAATTGGAGCACTATTGAATGTCACGTTCGGAAATGCCGTGGAACTCATTATATTGTATGGACAACCTCGTCCGCCCTACACCATCCCTTTTGACAGATTTAGCTAACGATATCACAGTATGTACGTCTTTGAAATCAACTTCGATTCAATTTTCAGTCCGCCCTAGTTTGCTATTTCATTTCCTCCCACTCGAAATCCCCTAGTCAGGATACTAACACTGAATCAACCCGAACAGTATAGCACTTGTAGCTGTAAGTTAACGCGGTCTTGCTTTTCTTCCTGTGTTGTATACGCCATTAACACGATTGTGTTTTCAGAAAGAAGTCCGAATCGTGCAGGCATCTCTGCTTGGGTCCATTCTAGCAAATTTACTGCTTATTCTAGGAATGTGTTTCCTATTTGGTGGACTTCGATATCGAGAACAGGTAACAAGATTCTAGTTCATGAAGTACTATTAGTTGCCTTTATACTGATCGAATGTTACAGCTGTACAATTCAAACATTACCCAAATGAGTGCCGCTTTGCTCAGTCTCAGCGTCATGAGCCTTCTCTTACCAGTAAGATTTCTCACAGTTTCTCACCTTTTGCCCCCAATCCTCCCCATTAACATTTTCTATTCATAGACCGCTTTCCACGCCTCATTCAACAATATGGAGACTGCCGATGCCGTTGTATTGAAAGTGAGCAGGGGTACCAGCGTGGTAAGCCCAGATACCTAAAAATACATCAAATTTATTCCCTGCTGACGACTTCAAGATCCTTCTGCTGGTATATGTTCTATACTTGCTATTTCAACTCAAATCTCACGCGTACTTTTATGAAAGTACCCCTCAACACAAAATTGACGAAGAATCTCATCCAGGAGTCCTGGCCGACATGTTAAATTCCCCCAGCTCATCGGAATCTAGCTCATCAAGCGATAGTGACAGTGACGGAACATCGGGGTCCTACACACGAACAAAGCGCATCAAAAACGCGCTCAAGAAACGGCGACGTCATAAGCAGAGCATTAACTCGAAAGACGTGAGACAAAGCTTTTCATCGGCTTCCTTTAGTCGTACCGTTTCATCAAGCTCGCAGCCAATGACAGAATCAGCCCCATCGCAGTCCAAACGACACTCAGAATTTACGTCGGCTGGTATGGAGCAAGCAGTTAGTGTAAATGAGGTGGATACGGATGAGACAAATACGACTCAAGACTCTCCTCCATCTCGCCCCGTTTGCAAGGATTTTGCCTGCCCCGACTCCTCTGTTAACATTCACGGGAGCAGACACAAGCAAACAAAAAATCGCCACAATCACAACGAAGGTAAAGAGCGCGTGGACAGTGTCAATAGCCCTGTGATGGATCAGAATGGTCGGGACGACCACCCAACCTTTGATTCCACTCCGCCCACCCACGCCAAACGACAGGTTAACTTTACCACTGATTCTGCCAATTCTGCCGAGCCAATGGCCGCAAAACTGCCCCTCGCTGCACGTAGTCTGTCCCAGCGGCAGGTCCTTCCGCGAGTTTTCATGAACAAACCACATTTGTACTCTGCTCATAGTACTACAACGGCTCCCTTCGGTAGTCAATGTAGTTCTGGTGACGGTGAATGTGGTTTAAGACGTGCAAATTCGCTTCCTGGTCGTTTGCAAAGCCCGTTTAGTCGCCCAATAATGCCTTCAGCTCAGCCACTTCCGCGCCTCATGACTATTGCTCCATCACAGGGTCCCGATGGAATTGCAACTGAGGCTATAGGGTCATGTCATATATCCCGCACGGCTTCTATTATTCTCCTAGTTGTGTCCACAGCCCTTGTCGCAGTCTGCGCGGAGTTTCTAATCGATAGCATCGGATACCTCGTTGAGAATACTGGCGTCAGCCAAGCCTTTATTGGGTTGGTTATCTTGCCTATTGTTGGCAACGCTGCTGAACACATCACTGCGGTGGTAGTAGCCGGCAAGAACAAAATGGATCTCGCCATTGGTGTTGCACTGGGGAGCAGTATTCAGATTGCTCTGTTTGTGACACCCGTCATTGTGCTGCTGGGATGGTGCCTAAAAACTGAGATGTCGCTCTATTTTAGCCTATTTGAAACTATCTCACTATTTGCCTCTACTTTCATTGTCAACTATCTGGTCCTAGACGGCAGGACCAATTACCTCGAAGGAGCTCTTCTCATATCCGCTTACGTGATCATTGCCCTAGCGGCTTTCTTTTATCCCTCATGTGAGAATCTAAGCATGGCTAGTGGACCATACGATGCAGGAGCGTGTTAAAAGAAATGTTGGCTTTCTCGTTGATGAGGCTAGTGCTGGGCGTTGAGACGGCGCAGCATTTCGGTCTTTTAATAGGGACTGTGTGAAATGGACATGGCTTGCTGATCAAGGTGGTTAGCTCGGCTCGCAATGAGTTGTGCTATGGAACACGAGCCCTGGGTTAATTACTGCCCAATGATATCACAATATGCAGGCACTGCTCTAATTGATGTAAATATTTCTAAAGTGCACATGCTTCCTAAGTCCAATCTCATTATTGTCATGTCTCACTCAACATTCTTCATCATGGCATTGAACTTCCATTCCACAGTCATCCTCAGTCAATTCATTGCCCAATTGTCAATGCATATATAATTTGAGACAATTATCACTCCATCTTTGGATGTTTAGAGATTTGTTCAAACAGTATATCTGTAAATAATACTGCACTTCATCTTCTTGTAGCTAATACTGTATATTCAAATTCTTCAGAATAAATCTCAGCGTCATCTCAGTCAATCAGTCAAATCTTGCACTTAAGATCTAGTATCAAATTCTGGGGTGCAATATCTTGATGCATAAGAGTCAACTTATTAAAACTAAAGAGTGGAATAGTATCTAAAGCTTGCATGAAACTTTGTCAAATTTCAAGTTCAAAGTTAAATCAAGTCTTCATTGCTATAACATCTCTGAATGATCCATCTTCTATATCACTAAACCAGCACCCTTTGGCCTTGTAAAATTGACAGTCTACTGGGCCTGGTTGTTGGGGTACCTGAGCTGACTGCAAAGCAAGAAACATAGAAGTCATCTAAGAAACAACATCTTCGGTCCCAAACTATCTACTTTCAGGTTGGTAGAGCATCTTCTGTCAGCAGCTTCAAGATTATGACAGAGGAGATTTGCCTTACATCCAAATTGTGTACCAAGACATACAACATTCATCATTTCACAGAGACTTTGTGGATTATTATCCTCTCATTAAAAGTTGAGCAGCAAAATGCTCCTGATTATCCTTCTTTACCCCTCTCCCTTCGTTCAACAAGGCATCTTCTAATAGCGTCGATGACTCGAAAGCCCTTGGGCAACGAGGAGCCTTGCGCAGCGGTGACATGCTGTTGGCATTCGCCGTGAGTGCTATAGTACTCGTTTATTTTGTCCTCCAAACGAGGTCAGGATAATACCTCTCCCACACATGGGATGTACGAGCGGCCTTTGCTCTTGATTAGCAAAGAAGTCTGCTACATTTATCCATCCTTTGTTGACCCTTTAAGCCCAAGCCTCTAGCAAATCATTTGCCCACCCCTCACAACCCTACCAGCTCAAGCTAAGTTAACACACGCCGATTTGACCAACGGAGCAATCATTTCAGCCGACATCACAAGGCGCCTTTTTACACCATATCCATGGGTGGTCAATGTTGGACGCAAAGAATGCGGCACAGCAAGTCATTAACGTGATCGATTTCTTGTATGACGTCACTCAAAATTTTGAATGACAACCAACCATGGTTCAAGCCGCAGGATAACCACAACTTTATTTAGACCTCCCTGATGACACATCGCTCAGCCACACGCTCTGGATTTGCTACTTAATAGAAACATCCTCTGAATCTCGATGTATTCATTTATGGAATGTGTTGCCCAAGTACTGCATATTTGACGTTTTCTTTACTAGTATTAACCGTTCTTATCTCCATTATTTCGAAAACGGCATAACTGGGAATTTCGTCTGCGCCAACTCAGCTTACCGCCGGGTTCGGCCTTTCCTTGTCCTGGGTTGTCAGTGTGATAGAGACCTCGTGGATTTTACATTTCAAAACAAGAGTGGTTTTCTCTTTCGTCTGTCGCCTTTTCACTTGTCTTCTTCAGAACGTGAGGATACTGTTGATTTGTACTGTGCCTGAACAATATCTTTTAGACGCAACACAACCCAAGGTGCTAACATCCCGGCTATCTCACAATACCACCCAGACATCGCGCTGGAGACTACACGGCAGTATCGGGTTAAGTCTATGCCCTTGGCTCTTTCCTGAACTTTTTTAAATGGCTTTCTTCTGCTGCAGAGGGGCCGATAAGGATGAACGTGCGGCTCCAAGCCGGCCTATAGAGAATAGTAGCAGTCAAGCTAGCAAACAACAGCCGAGCAAATGTCCACCACCAATGTCTTTTCCACCTAGCATACAACAGGCTACTCCAAATCTATCAGCTCTGTCTACGGGCGATGAAAAGCAGCGTGTTTTCGGTCCTAATGAGGCCATCGTTGCTGGGCCTAGCACCATCCCGGAGATTTCTGAAGGAGCGACCCATCAAAAGTCAGAGCCGCTCATAGTATCCAGAAGTACTGGGGCAACAACTGCTACCGCAGGACCTCCCCCAGGGTATCAAGACAGAGCAAATAATAAAAACACCAAAGCCCCGCAAGGCAATCCACCTCCTTACCACAACTGGGAAGAAGCTGTGCCAGATACAGCTGTGTTTCCTCCACCCCCAATTGGAGGCTACCTCTATTCCAATACAGGGAACGCATCAGAAGAAGATGCCGATCGAGCTCATGACTTCTGTGATAACACCCCGTTGTGGACACCATACACACCATCAGACGCTGTCTATAATTCCGTTCAAAACTTTGATCTTCGACCTGTTCGGCCTGAAGAGTACAACGGGAGCCTAGAGGTTGTCAATAAGGGAATGTGGAGAGGACGCACTCAGGACCAGAATGGAGACTGTATTCTGTTAACGGGTTTACCAGTATACTTTCCTGCAAAGGACTCGCCCCTAGTCACAGAAAGACCGAAGACGATATACTTCGAAGCAAAACTCCTTGCCCAGCACAGCGGAATCAATGGCCAAACTAGCGGGTTTGCCATCGGGTTTGCGGCTCAACCCTATCCGACATGGAGATCACCCGGCTGGGAACGAGGCAGCGTGGGTGTTTTCTCCGACGATGGGTGCAGATTTGTGAACGATTCATGGGGCGGGATGGAGTTCACCAGCCCATTCAAGGTTGGGGAAACAATTGGTTTAGGAATGAAATTCCCATTGCCATCTCCAGAGTCGTTCGTACAGTCCCAAGCCACTGGCGCATCACCAACTCTTCCAGTGGAAATATTCTTCACCCGGGATGGAAAGATTGTAGGGAGCTGGGATCTACATGAGGAGGTTGATGAGGATACTGGTGGTGTTGAGGGTCTAGAGGGTGATTTTGATCTGTATGGCGCGCTTGGGTTGTTCGGGGGCGTCGAGTTTGAGGTCTGTTTCAATAGTTCTGGATGGTTGTGGGTTCCTCCTACTACTATGTAGTTGTATATCTTGCGTTCTTCGTTTGTCGTTTCGTTTGGCTTCTTTGAGTGTTCCAATACCAATGGTGAAATTTGTTCAATACATAAGGGCACATACATAGGTATCTCTGTTTCTTTCAATGTCAACATTACCAACTGTTTTGAAACAAGGGTAGCAGCTGCGGTCCTTTGTTGGGGAGAAAATAATCCATGTAGTTGCATTTGATACCGTATCGGGTAATTCGAAAGAATCATAATTTAGTGAGTAGTAGCAAGTGTTGAGTTGATTGATTACATTATATACAAAGTCATGAGTTTGACATACAAGCCTGTGAAGATAATGCATCCGCGTGTGCAGCATGAACTTCAAAGTCAATTGATCTTCTCAAGGTGAATGCAACTGATTTTGCAAAGTGCTGACTGTAAGCAAAGGTCTCAGTCTGATAACAAAAACCAGCTCACTTTTCAGGAGCAAATACTGTCAAAGGTATGAAAGTATTTCAGTTCATTAATTAGCAAATCTTCTCAAGATACTCATACTTCCCTGCCCTACTTTCTTCAAGAGAGATGGGGAGAATAAGTCAGAGAACATTCCCTTGTTGAGTTATTGAACTAGGAGCTGACTGGCTGCCTCAAACTCATAAAGTTCTTGCTGTCCTGAATGACCATCAATGTATTTTGTCAAAAGATTAGTGTTCTGTTGATCTGAATATCAGGGAATGATGCAGAGCTGGACATAGTGTAACACATCAGTGTAAATGTAGATGTCAACATTTTACTTACCAGTGCAAAGAGCTTACCGGCATGAAGCTGAAACTGGTACAGTACAAACCCTCCTGTGAAAAACTGATCAAAGCTGAAGCTGAATTTGATAAATGTTTTTTTCTCAGGACGCAAAATTTTCAACAAGACCAGTCTCCACTAACAGGCGCAGCGGCCCACTGCCCCACTAATCCTTGGCCAAATCGGAGCTGGCTGTGGGGTCTAGATCAATTGAAGCCCGCTGGTCAACAACGGACAGACGCCCGCCTGCAATCATCACTAGCGACGAGGGCCGGGGTTCCATATAATGCCCTTTATTATTATTAACTGTCGAACTAGCAGCAAACTATCATATTGAATTTTAGCATGATGCATCGAGGGAATCATGACCCCAGCAGCTTCAAACTAAGACACCTCCAGGCTAGAAGAGACGCCCAAGTAATAAAGATTCGCGTTGCCGGATAATTCATCAAAAGGTGTCAATAGTGGCTTGGCAATTCAGCCGTTCGAAGGCTAGAATAAACTAGGTATGCAACGGGTAGCGAGCCGGGCCGAATCTTGTACAAGGATCCGCAGACTAGACCTGGCTGGGGAAGCTGAGACTATCCAGTCCTTTAGCATTGTAGCAACCAGCGATGGATAACAGAAACGAAACCCTACCGCCAGGTCAGAAACAAATATGTCAACAAGACAAAAGGAAACAATGAAATACTGGGGTGAGAAATATAACCTCTTTTCAGCAATATCAATGACTCTTTACAACAATATCAATGACAGCTTTGTCAATGTGTGAGTTGAGTTGTGTGTGCAATGCTGACTGTAAACTCAAAGCAAGGCTTGCCAGAACCATTCCCACAACTTACTCCCCAACACCAACATCCGGACATTTACAAAGTACTCCTCTGCCCTGTTCTCTTTGTGTTCACAGCGCATCATTTCCAGTCAAACAGCCTTCATCTGTTTCTCTCCAACTTCGCAAATAAAAGGAATTTTTTTTTTTTTACGTTTTAAGGATGAAAAACATAGAGGTTGGAGGCTTAAAAATAATCCCGCAAAAAGAACCAGTAGGTGAGAGATGAGAGCTGGATATCCACTCCAGATTTTGCGGGAACAGGAATTGAGCAAGCCAATTGATACTTGAATTCCGTCAGTAGGAAAACCTTTACTCGTTGTCGACGTTATTACTTCACCATCTCCTCTTTTCACTCTGTGCAGCTAACAAATGATGTGTCACGTCACAGGGCTTGCCAGACATGCCGATATAGGTAGGTCAGTCTACTTCTCCACAGGCAGAGTGGCATTCGAATTGTTTCTCCCTTGTTTCTACTGCTATTCAGCTTCATTCAACTGGAACATTTTGTTATATCCAGGTCAACCCCACCCGGGTTAGCGGCTACGCCTCGCCAACAATAATGTCTCGTCAAGGAAGATCGCCACTGGGATCATTCCATTTCATGACGGCAACGCGCCATCGCGCCACTTTGCGCGGTGGAGAATGAGCCAGACCCGAAAAGGCGTTGAAAAACAAATGGCATTGGGATCTGAAGCTCGGTTGGCTGTGGCTGGAATTCACGCACGAGAAGATAATTATGATGGAAAAGTCAACAGAGGAATTTAACATAAACGCAGCATGTAAAGAGGACAGGAAATAGAGACCTTGCGGTCGCAGAGGATGATGAGAAGATAGGGCAAACAGGCGTACTTCTATCTCTGAGCCTTCTTGCCCCTTTCCACCGTGCCTTTGTTGTTTATCATTTAAAAGCTCACACAACGCATGCTCATTTGAATGGGCCATTCTACCAGACCCTTGCCACAGCGTTCTGGTCTCTTCATAAACAATGCGTTGATCTTGTTGGCAGTCCATTTGCTGCTAATTCTTGGGAGAATCGCTTGTTGTGACGAATACTCCATGCATTGCTAGAAAACTGATGTTGGAAAAGGTGATTGGAACAACTATCTCGCCAGGGTAGTGCGCCGTTCAGAATATCGTGGTTTGAATGGGAGAATGCTGCTTCCAATCAAAGTTTTAGGAAAAGTATTTATTCTGACATGAAAAAATATTCCTCAGCTTGGCGATTTGAGATTTTGGCAATGATTCGGAACACTCCACTTGACCTTAATACCAATCGCCCTTGTTTGAACTTCTCGCTCAAGGGCGCGAATGCGGGCCGAGCAGTGATGAACCAACCCGATTCTTTTTAGTGCTCCTAGGAGTAAGCCCACCCCACCCTCAAGAAATTTGCCGCCGCATGTGGAAACGCCCGCTAATCGAAGCTCATTTCAGGTTGCTTGAAGCATAGAAGCAAATCCTGGACGGCGTACGGAGTAGTTATGTTTCAATTGATGGAATCTTCGGTGAAGCTGGGCAATCCGCTGCAACCTTTTGCTCACCCCGGCTTCCACGAGCCTTCGAGTATTACTACCCAAGCACTTGCGATCACCCTCGCTGATATTCCTTGCTAGCGTTAGTAGCAATGTACCGTACCTCCCCTGTCGTGCAAGTATGGTATCCATATTACCTGCAGCTGCATAAACACCGAAAATAAAAAAGTAAAATAAAAAATAAAGTTGAAAGCAACGAGCATAAATGGTAAGCCCACCGGGGAAAAAAAAAGGAAACCAAAAGTCAGAGAGTAATGAAATTTGAGAACTGGGATAACAATGGCTAATTTGGCAACAGGCAGCTATATCCTAGCCCAATTTGTTTTCTGTCGGTTTTATTTGCATATGATATCGACGAGCGCGTTGTTCCTTCTGGGCTGTTCTCCGAGCTCCCCACAGCAAGGTTTTTGTATACCCTCTCCCCCCCAGCCATTCCTTCGCTTTCATGCTCTCTGCTCCTCGCTCTTTATTAATCCATAGTATTTGGTTTATTTAATTCTTCTCCCGCTTTTCTTCTCTTCTTCCAGATTATTTGTCTCAATTCCCAACTACTTTCTCTATATCCAGTGCTTCTTCCACTGGGACTGTCGTTTCAATTGTTGGTGACCACGTTAGTTAACCTTGATTTTTATTATTATCTGTCTTTATCTCCTTTTTGTTTATAGCACTGGGCCACTAGAATTTTCTCCCGGGCGGCATTGTGTTTGCGTACATCTAAAAGCTTCTGGGAAGGGAGGGCCCAGCTCAGCATCTATAATGGAGCTCGACAACATGTATATGCTCTGTTTTAAGATATTATTGTCAGTGTCCCTCACCCAGACGACTTCCAATTGGCGCCAACGAGCATTGCTATAATGTTGAAGGTCGTTACTAGGAATGCAGCTTGATCAAAGGACCCTTTACTGATGCGGGAATGAAATAGCCTCTACCGTTACGTGCGTCTAGTTGTTAATCTAATTGCTGTTTGGACATTCCGGCCGATTCCACCGCCAGAAAATCCGACTTTGACTTCTCAAGATGCAACAATTATCATACCTACTCTACAGGGCTGTGGGGATGAATTGGAAGAAACAATTCGAACCATTCTTATCAACGAGCCTTTCCAAATTATTCTGGTGACGATTGATAGCAACAGGGGGAACGCGGAGAAAATGCTCGAGAAGATGCCAGCATCAAAAGCCCGGATCAAATTGCTTAGCATCCCAAAGCCAAACAAAAGACGCCAGATGGTGCGGGCTATTCCCGAGGTCCAAACCAAAATTACAGTTTTTGTCGATGACGATGTAAGCTGGCCGCCGAAGGAACTGCAATGGCTATTGGCAGTTTTCGAAAAGGACCCCATTTACGGGGGGGTAGCAACTTGCCAGCGGCTAAGGCGATCAGATTCACCCCTATTTTCTACACAGCGCGTGTGGGACTTCCTAGGAGCGCTCTATCTGGAGCGCAGGAATTTTGATTGCGCCGCAACAACTCATGTGGACGGAGGAATGCCCTGCCTTTCCGGGCGAACTTCCGCATACCGAACCAAGATCCTTCAGGACCGGGATTTCACATATAACTTCACCAACGAGGAGTGGTGGTTTGGTAAATATGAATTAAATGCGGACGACGATAATTTCCTCTCTCGCTGGATGGTAACGCACGGCTGGGAGACATATTTCCAATACCACCCTGAAGCGGAAATCCAAACAACCCTCGAAAATAATGCAAATTTTCTCAAGCAGTGCGTTCGGTGGTCACGAAGTAACTGGCGGAGTAATCTCACAACCATGATTCAGGAGCAGGTTGTTTGGTAGTAGGTTTCCTCTCCCCCCTTCGAGCTAGCGTTACTTCATCATCCGATTCCTTGACTCTTCCCAGCCCGAATTTTCAGCATTCTCGTTTTTCCGGGGCTTTGAGAGCTTTGCGATTGTCTTCCTAAAAGCGAGTTCAGCTACAAAATCGCTAATTTGCCTTACGAGGAAGTTTTGTCCGATTTCATATTATTCTTTTCTTTTCTTTTCTTTTCTTTTCTTTTCTTTTCTTTTTTTTTTTTTGGTTGCTATTTTTTCGTTCGGTTCTTTTCTTTTTCTTTTCTTTTTCTTTTCTTTTTCTTTTCTTTTTCTTTTCGGCTTTTTTACCTTGATTATGTGCAGACCACTACTTCGTATTTCTTTGTTGCTTTTTTTTTTTTCTCCTCTTTGTTTCCTCGCCCATTCTTTCTTTCTGTTCCTTCCCTGGCTTTTTGTGGCCGTTTGAGGATCCTAGCACAGCAAATCGCGCAATCAATTCCCCTTCTATTCCCTGGTGCCGAAGATGTAGCTCAGCCCCATCCCTGTCGCGATGACGAACCAAATTTAGACCAGAGGCTAACATAAGGGGTCCGTGTTGGCACCACTTCCATTAGCCGCCAGCCGTGGAGTACCTACGCCGTTTATCTTA